CCGTATTAATGATAAACTATTTTTGGCATGTTAAATCTGTTGTCCCAGGCAAGTGCATAGATATAAAACTTATAGTTACTATAATTGTACCATGGATTCATTAAGTGTAACTGTGAGATTATTATTTAGTTGCTATGGCTATTAAACTAGTTCTTAGTCAATGCTAAGGATATTGGTCTTTCTCTTACGAGACTAGCACTTGGTGTATGTGATGCCGCGTCTCATCGATTATGGTATAGTGACATTGGCATACATGAGTGTGTGCTAATAGGATGAGTTGTATCCAAAATAGTTCTTAAAACCTAATACATCATTGGGATTTCATTACATGTCCGCTTGTGTTGTGACCTGTCTACGAACCTCATCAAAGATCACAAAAGGAGGCAACGTCTGCACATACCGAAATCTAGTGAGTGTTTGTGCTTTAGAGTTAGTGATTCCACCCCTTGCTTTGATTGCATGAATGTCCTGTATGTTCTCCTAGTATATAGTCCCTGAAATCTCGGGTCTGAGTAGAAAGTGTGGTTATTAGAGAATCAGGAAAAAAATTTGAAAAATTTTAAATGAAAAAAAAGGAGATTAACACCGTTGAACGGCTGCAGGAAACAATATTCAGAAAAAAAAGAGGAAAAAAAAGAGAGAGAGAAAAAAAAGTCAACATTAGTCAAATTCAGGGTAAAATTGGAATCATGAGTTTGAGACATGAATTGAAATTATTAGAATTTGAGGGAGTAAGATTTATCATTGATGGGTTTTTAGACCTCATTTGTCCTTTTATGTAAAACTATTTATTGTGTGGATCTATTTATTAATAAATAGCCACTATGCCGACTGTGACAGGATAATTTAAAGAATATTGAGTAGGGTAACAGAAATTCTATGTAAAATCAATTTATATTAAATGATTATTTTATAAATAAATAATTTCTATTTTCCTTTACATTTGTATTTTAAAAAAAAAAAAAAAAAAGAAATCTTTGATTATTTCCAACCGTAATTTAACAGGATAGGATTTTTGTAATGGTGCTAGCTATTGCGTTGCTATATACTATATAAATAGGGTATCCAATTAATGTGCACTTTATGATCATTACGTACATACTTTGCTAAGTATGGGACTAATTAATTGTCATTAGGCCTTGTGGGAATTTTAGTTATAGGAAGAAAGACAGAACGAATTATATGTAAAGTTAGGTACTCTACCTGGATTCAACACTTTCGTATACGAAGTTTAATTCGATTAGATGAGATATGACTCTTGATGAGAGCGATCGAAGAGTTTTTTGCATCACAACTCATTTTTATCCGAGCGAAGTAGTAGAGTTTGGTTTTGTTATTTATCTACGAAAAAAATACAATTATTGATTGGGTTCAGTAACAAAAAGTCTATAATTTCATCTTCTTAATATGTGTACTTATTTGAAATAAAATCCCGGATTTAGTAAGTTTAATGAATTATTAATTACGTCTCTGAACGCGGAAAATGATTCAATGAATTCAAAAGAATTTAAACAGAATTATGTAGAGTGGAACGTTTTCTTTCAGAATGCAAAATTAATTATAACATAACTTCGCAATGAGTTGCAAATTGCAATTCGATACGCATAATTAAGTCACGATATGACTATGATAATTAATAATTAACAAATGAAGCATTAACGATCAAGTTCCGATAATAGATACAAAAGGAATATAGTTTGTCTATCATCTATTCCCGCCAATACATTTAATACGATGAGATTGACTCGAATTTTCTTCTAGCCACAGTTCTAATTATCAAAGCAATTTGTTAATTAACTTGAACAATAAAGATACTATAGATTGGCCAAATTTTATGAACACGTATATAATACAAATAAAAGAAATAAATAAAATCAACGAGCCTCCCACCTAGAGCTCACCGTTTTTTGTTCGGCGCCGAGGGTTCCGGCAATAGGATAAACTCCACATTGGTATGATATTGTCCGAATTGGGCCGAACCCAACTAATTTTGCTCTTGGGTTTCCCCAAAATGCCTCATACAATAGATTTAATATCCCCTCATTATAAAGGAGTGATCTTTCCCATATTAAACTAATGTGAGACTTGGTATGCACCTCAACAAAAATCTCACCACCCTTCTTCACAAGTAATCTTTACACACCACTCTTTTAATATTTTCAGATTTTTTTTTCTTAAAATTTTCCTAATTTTCTTTTCCAAAACTCCCTCCAAAATTACAAATGATTTTGTTAATTTCCAAATTTCTAGATATTTGTAATATTTTATGTGTGTAATTATAAAAAAAAAACCTCTCATTTTAAAGTATTTAACTTTTACACATTAGACAAAATCAATTTTTCACGTCTTAATATTTTCAATCAGTTGCACTCAACAACAATAAATCACTTTGTTCCAAAAAATAAGAAAAAGATCAATGTGTAAATTTTTGTCTAGCTTCCCACTTCATAAATTGGCAACAAATACAACACTTCCACAATAATAAAATTCTGGATTCGCCACTAATTTTATTATAGGTACGATAAAAATTGCATTTAACCATAAATAGTGGCATACTATTACTACACATTGGTATATAATATATATATATATATATATATATATATATATATATATATATATATATATATATATATATATATATATATATATATATATATATATATATATATATATATATATATATATATATATATATATATATATATATATATATATATATATATATATATATATATATATATATATATATATATATAATTCTTGTTACATAAACTCTATGAAGTTATTGAACACTGCAGATATTGAATTAAATTGAAGAGTTATTATATGATTCTAACGACAAAAATAAAAATTGTATTGCTTGCACCGAAATCCCTCGCCTCCGGTGCCTCTATCCCTTAGCCTGGAAATTATTTGGTAGAGAAATGTAAATCATGGAGACTCAATGGTCCATTAGGATAGCCGACCTGAACGTGGTGCCCACAAAGAACCAACCCTCATTCGAGTAGAAATTCCCACACTGCGGTTGTCAATATTCAATCATAAAATCTTACCACCCACGAACCAGTTGAGGTATATTCATGCGGGCTAAAAAAATTGTACTGCTTGTGATCATAAATAGTGTACATTTATATAGCCAAAATAGTTGACAAAATATATGGTTGGACTTGGACCCCACATATATATTTATAACAAGAAACAGACCGAAACCTAGATTGAGACATTACAACTCATAATTTGGTCATAAGATGCCAAAATGGTGCACACAGTTTCTAGTACACGATACCTTAAATGATACTCACATAACCACATGCTTAAGCTGTACATGATATTTTGAACTATTTCATTTATGTAATATAATTGATGCTACATATATATATAATTATATATATATATATATATTCATGATTTATATATCTAAGGTTGGGCATAGTTAATGTACTTATATATCTAAGGTTGGGCATGGATCGGGTCAGGTAATTATCGGACAATTACCTATCTGACCCGACCAACCGATTTTATTGAATATTAAAAACCGTTATCGGCCCGACTATTATGGGTCTGGTAATGGTTGATACAATCAACTTTGTCGGGTAAAAATTGTGTCGGTTGGTTGATATTATCGGTCATCTAATTATTGATTTTTTTCTTTTTACAATAATTAATAAGATGTGTTTAAAAGTTTTTTTAAGAAAATATTCAAAATTTTGGGAAAATTTATATTGCAAAAATCCCAACTTTAAAATTAAGAGTCCTTTTTAATTTACTGAATTTCTACAATAAGTAAATATATAATGAATAATATGAATAAGTTATTAAAAAATAGAAATAGTACGTAGAAGTTTATAAATTTGTGTTTTGCATTTTCGAGTTTTGACTTCTATTATATATTACTTTTAACTTTAAAAAAAAACAAGAATTACAATTAGATATTTATAATTAAAAAAGCCGGTTGGTCTGGTAATATCGGCCAACCAACTTTTGAATAAACTGAAAATCGTCGACCGACTCATTTATATATGGCTAGCTAAAATTATCGACCTAACTATATGAGTCGGTTAATTATCCATTATCGGCCGAGACAAGTGGGTCGAAAGTACAAATAAACTTTTAAGTTAAGACATATATAGGGCAAAATTGCAACTCGATCCCCTAAAAGATTTACTAGTAATAATAACTCACCTAACAAATAAGTTTCAATTCAAATGACCCACCGATTAAATGTTATGACAACACACACACACACACATCTCCAAATTAAATACATTTTCATTGTGAAAAGGAAATTAAAACATCATAATCTACCACAGACACAATGGTAGAAGATATCGTGACAGCCATGCAACTTCACTATTATATATATATATATATATATATATATATATATATATATATATATATATATATATATATATATATATATATATATATATATATATATATATATATATAGAGGATCCTCTTTCTCCCACACATATACTCTATCCCCCCCTCTATATATATACCATTCCCATTCGTCGATTTCCTTCCATTATCCTCCTCACCTGTTTCAACACATTTGATATCAGACATTAAATCAGCACGCAGAAGGCAACTAAATAAAAGTGAAAAGATTAAACTGGTACGTATTTAAAAGGTTTAAGAGATGATTAGTCGAAAAGTTTCAGAAATAGATAATATCACACTAAGGTGGTGTTTGCAAAAGTTTCAGAAATAGATAATAAGCTTTTTTTGTCTCGTATTCTATGTTTAAGTATTTGCAAATACAACTTTTGCTTTTGCTGCTCTCAAATTAGGTTGTTTTAAGTCATAATCTCAAGAAACATCTCTGCATCAGCTTTTTTGAGCTTAAAGTAGCATTGGACATTTCTCTTCTGCCCTCA